AATAATGACGCTAGATCACGTTGAATTTGTTGCATGGACTGATGGAGTTGTTGCATGGCCGTCGAATGAGTCTGGATTTGGCCATCGACTTGAGCCTGGAATTCACGAAAAAGATCGGTGGTAACTGAGTCCGACGTCATGAAGATCTCAATGAAAGCACCAGTGATACGGCAGTATCAAGTTGGGAAGCCCTTTGAGTGACTTCTAACTCCAAGGGAAAAAGAAGAGAAGGAGGAAAGAGTTTTGGAAGAAGAAAAGAAAGAAACGTACGGGAAGAGGAAGTGGGCAAGCTAAAGGGTTTTAATTCATTCCTCTCCAAAAACAAAGAGATACATCCCCTTTTTATAGCATAAAAACCCTTAACCTAAAATACTACATTTTCTATCCTGACGGTTCAAGAAAAAGCGACGAGGTAAAGAACCGTAAAGAAACCCTCGAAGGAGCTTATATTTTGCTCACCTAATAAAATCTAAAATACATTAAATAAAATAAACTAGTGTAACTGAAACTCTTTTTGCCAAGCCGGCGCCCGTCGTAGACGCGTACTCCGACGTAAACTTTCAACGGGCGACCTAGAAGTAGATTCATAATCTTGTGATGGAACCGTAACAATATACTCCCTCCGTCCTAGAGTATTTGTCCACTTTCATTTTTACACACCATCCAATGCACTTCATTTTTACACACCATCCAAAAGTCAAAAGTGGACAAAAACTGGGGGACGGAGGGAGTGTATATATATATATATATATATATGGTATATTTATTAGATAAAATAATATTTATAAAAATATTTTATAAAATAAATCTAAGAAATACCAATATCTAATACTCCGTATGGAATATCATTTTTATTTAATATATAGTCAAAGTTTATCAATTCTAATTCAAAAAAGTTAAAAATAGTCAAATACTTAGAACATGGTAGTATATATATTGCATGAAAAAAAAGATTGATCCTCATTTATTTGTGGATGATGCTCCGATGAGGCCAAGGATACATTTTGTTCAACTTATCTTATTACTTAATTTTTCTTTTAATATTATGAATAAAAATACGAAAAGAAAATGGTGATGGATAAGTTATTTATGGATCGAGTAATGAATAAGGAGTTGATGAATGTATAATGGTGAAGTTCCACCCTATCAAAACCTAAGTCGTTGCCATCCCTATAAATTCAAATTAAATCATATATCTTATCAAGAAGATATATGATCATTTTTTGGCCATCTTCTGACGAAAAGGAGGCATTGATACTTATTTTTCAAATCATAGGCACTAAAGCTCATTTCTTAATTTCCAATTACTATTTTTTGGTTTCTTTCCTTTTTTTTTTAACTCTTTTTCCATGTCTTTGTTTTCTTTTCTTATTAAAGTTTTTTCATTTATTTTCTAGTTTTTTAATAATGTTTTAAGAAATTAAAAATTCTTTGTGTTTCATATAAAAATAAAAAATTAAAGAGTTGACATATACTCCATCTATCCTAAATTAAATATTTTCAATTTATTGATTTCTAGAATAAAAAGAAAGGAAATTTCAAAAAAGAAAATATGGAATAAAAAATAAGAATATGGAAAAAATGATAAAATTGAAACATACAAAAATACTCTTATACAAAAAAGAACTTCGAAACGTCTAAAAAAGTCCTTAACATTGGGATGCCCATCCAAAAAATGAAATTCATTTCAATTTTTTCTTTTATTTTAGTTTCTATTGTATTCCTCTTTTTTGAAACCCAAAAAAAAGTTTTACTTTTAAATTTCGAAAAAAATAATAAAAAAGATGTTGTATATGTTATTAATTATATTTTATTTCAAACAAACACAATTTTAAATTTTAAAAGTGTAATTTGCACTGAATAAGACTAAAACATAAGTCATTTCCTAATCTAGGACTTAAACTTTTTTATTTCCTAAATAGAACTTAATAATGACTAGTAAGAAGAATAATGTCCAAGTGATGCTGGACATTTAGTTGAATAATGACTAATAGATAATGATCAATGGTCCATTGGTCCTACATAGAGAAATAAAAACATATAGTCCTATATTGAGAAAGTCATTATGTTTTAATCTTATTTAGTAAATTACTCATAAAATAAAGGTTTGACATTGTTATGACATTTAACCACACCATTTTGAAGCAACATGGTATCGAATGAATTTGTTCACTAAACAGAACCTTACTTAATATGAAGGGGGTAAAAATTTTGAAAAAGTAGAGGACCAAAGTTTTTACGCGGAATGGCACTGAAATACCTTTTGTGGCATTGACGCCGTGCTCCACCAAACGACTCACAAAGTCATTCCCATTTTCCTCGTAATTACGGAGGTCGGAGCAAAAGGCTAAAAAACACTTTCGTCTAAAAAAGAAGACCTGCAGGCTGCAACTTTCGGGGAAATGACGCGGCCCTCCCTCCCTGCATAAAAAGGGAAAACTGTAAGCAAAACAACTGGTAAAGAAGATGATGGTGGTGATGGAGGATCTGTTGTCTAAACTTGGCGCCTCCCTCGCCACCCTCATGTTCATCTGGACATTGTGCCAGAACTATTTCCCCGAACACATTCGAACATATTTGATTTCCCGCTATCACATGATTTACAGCTACTTCTACCCATACGTCCACATCACCTTCCATGAGTTTGAAGCAGAGGAGCTCTTTGACAGGAGCAAAGTTTTCTTGGCTATTGAGAGGTATCTCGGCCATGTTTCATCTGGGAATGCCAACCGCTTCATCGCGAAACCGGCGAAAGACAGCTGCCGGTCGGTGGTGCTCAGCATGGGAAACCACCAGGAGGTGGTGGACGTGTACAATGGGGTGGTTAAGGTGTGGTGGAGCTCTGTAGAGATAGCTTCCAATCGACAATCCATCTCTTTCTACCCAAGGGAGGACGAGAAACGGTGTTTCCACCTCAAGTTTCACAGCAAGGATCGAGAGATGGTCATGAAATCTTACCTCCAGCATGTGTTGGCAGAGGGGGAGGCCATTCAGGTGAGGGAAAGGAAACTGAAGCTTTACACCAACAACAAGAGTGACGAGTGGCGGGGGTGGAGGAGCACCAAATGGAGCCATGTCATATTCAAGCATCCTTCCACTTTCGACACTCTCGCGATGGACCCAACCCGGAAGCAAGGGATTGTAAACGAGCTTCTCAATTTCAGGGAGTCAAAGGAGTACTACGCCAAGATAGGCAAGGCATGGAAGCGCGGCTATCTCCTCCACGGCCCTCCGGGAACAGGAAAGTCCAGCATGATTGCTGCCATGGCCACTCTTCTGCAGTATGATGTGTATGATCTTGAGTTGACTGCTGTGAAGGACAACAATGAGCTGAGGAGGCTGCTTATAGACACCTCGGGCAAGTCCATTATAGTAATCGAAGACATTGATTGCTCCCTCGACCTGACCGGGCAGAGGGAGAAAAAAGAGGAGGATGAAAAGGAGGAGAAAGATCCAATCAAGAAGGAATTAATCAACAAGGATGTGCTGAAGAAGAAGAAGGAGAGTGAAGTGACTCTATCGGGGCTTCTAAATGTCATCGATGGCCTCTGGTCAGCCATAGGAGAAGAAAGAATCGTAATCTTCACCACGAATCACGTAGAGAAACTTGATCCTGCACTGATAAGGAGGGGGAGGATGGACAGCCACATTGAGATGTCATATTGTTGCTTTGAGGCTTTCAAGGTGTTGGCAAAGAACTATCTCGATCTTCGGGATGATTCTCACCCTCTGTTCCCAGAAATCAGACGTTTGCTGGGGGAAACCAAAACAACCCCTACCGACGTTGCTGAGAACATGATGCCCAAATCTGCTCGCGAAAAAGCAGACACCTGTCTGGAGAGATTGGTTAAATCACTGGAAACCGCAAAAGAAGAAGCACGGATGAAAGAGGAGGAAGAGAAGAGAACCAATGCTGTCAAGGAAGAGGAAGCCCGCAAGAAGAAGAAACAAGAGGCCGATGACCTGAAGAAAGCAGAGACATCGTCAGTTCATGAAAATGGAGATGCAAAAGAATAGTTAATGCAGATGATGCATAGTGGAGATTTGAGATGGTGTTCGCCATGGCTTCTTTTCTTTTCCACTTGCATTGCAGTGTCGTGTGTTTCTTCAAAAATATGAATCCTCTTACGGTTTTCCTTGGACGTGCAGGACAATAAATAGATAAATTGGGGTATAACTCAAACTTACAAATAAAGAATGATATATGTACTCTGTACATCCAAGGGCGATAGCATGGTGACCCTTCATCGTCATTGTGTTTCTTTTAGTGTGTGTGTGTGTGTTGCAATCTAGGAGATGAGTGAGCATTAATCTCATGTTCAATTAGGCTTCTAATTGAAACTTTCCCCTCTCTTAATTGTGACCAGTAAAAATATCACTTCTCCCTTGGAGATTAAAAAAGACAAAGCACATAAGGTAACATGACATGAATCATCAAGGGCATTATACTCTAGCAGACACAAAACTGACACTTGTAGAAGATATCCATGTTGCAAAATGTTTTCTTTTCTATACATGCTTTAGGGCTCTCAAAAGGGGCACAAGTGCACAACACACCAAGTTGAGACTGTCTTGCCAAACTAGAGGGTTGGGAAGAATGGCATAAAATTAGGAGTTTTAGCCGCGACTTGGATAAGACGCGGATTGTTCTGGTAAAAGAATTCAACATGAGGGTTACCCATATAACACACATTATTTAACAAACAAACAAAAAAAAATAACACTGGACTCTAGCCTCTCAATTTGACCATTTCACATTGTCTCCATTGTAACCAATGTAATATTTACTCCGTATATCCTAGTAATGGTTACTGCTCTTGAAAATATAACATATCCACTAGGTGAAATAACAATTCTAGATCAGGAACCAAGGAGAAGTGTAATCCAACATTACTCTATCTTCTACAAATATCATCACTAAATTTTGTAAAAACAACAGAAGGACCTGTACTTCTCCAACTGAAACTGAAATCCGTTCTTCGTAGATGCTTTGTCCAATATTCATCTGAAATTTCCCTATTAATAATAACCTAATAATCATATTCTTTGATTTAATTCAACAGATTAAACTTTAATGTGTAGTTATAATCAAACCCTCTACCAAAAACACAATAGCAAAAGAACCCTTTACTTTTTTTTTACCAAATAATATGAAAATGAGAAGATGGGTATGCAACTCAGGGCTTTGAAATTGGGGGCTCTCAGCCTTCGATTGGCAACAAAGATGCTTGAAATAAGAGTAATCCAGCAACTAACCTAAAGAAGGAAAATGGGCACCTTTCTTCTCTTCAAGACCGGAGTGGCAGGAGAGCGGGGAGACTAGTATGGAGCTGCCATTGACCAACGAGAAAGGAATACTCCTCAGAGCCATTGGAGAGAGGGCTCAATAGAGAAAGGCATATAGTAGTACATTGCCAACTCACTCCAACCATTAATAAACAAAAAGAAATTGCCCCCTAAATAACACTAAAATATACCGGACTAAAAGATACAGAAAGTATCAAAATATAAGTTTATATTTTTATTCTATAAATACTTAAATAGGAATTCGCATTGCACTAATATGGCACTATACATGTACATTTTATGTGATGTACATGGTAATGATTGATAATGTAAATGTATTTAACTCTTATTTAAAAAATAAAAACGTGGAACTCCTATTTTCATATATTTTCAATATTTTACTTCTATTTTATTATTTTTCCCAATAAACAATCACTCTTAAACTTATAATATAAATTAGTTTTTAAAAAAGATTTTACTCCTATTTAATACTTCCTCCGTTCTAAAAAACTTTTCCTCTTTCATTTTTTTTACTTCCACCAAAACACTTCCACTTTCTATTAAAAAACCACTTTTACCCTTACTTTTTCATACCCTACCTATCACATCATACTTTTTCTCTAATACTCAATCCATCACATCTTACTTTTACTCATCACATCACGGGCAAAATTGGAAGTCAACTACAATTTAACACTTCCTTATTTTTACACAAAGTCAAAATAGGAACACTTTTATAGAACGGAGGGAGTATGTAATATACGTAGTACATTTTATTCAGTTATATATCAATGATTGAAAATAATTGATTGAAAAAAGTCAAAACTAGACAAATGCTCATGAACAGAGGTAGTATATGCTTTCTTTGTAGTATATAAAAGTTGAAATGAGTAATTTACCTAAATAGGACTAAAACATAATGACTTTCCCAATATAGGACCATATGTTTTTATTTTCTCAATGTAGGACTTTTGGTCATTATCAAGTAATCATTATTCAAGTAAATGTCCATTATTACTGGACATTATTAGTTCCACAAGGTCATTATTAAGTCCTATTTAGGGAATAAAAAAGTTTAAGTCCTACATTAAGAAAGTCATTATATTTTAGTCCTATTTGGTGCAAATTTCACTATTTATTTAAGAGAAGGGGGAGATGCAATATGATTGGCAAATAGCTAAGAACGCTCTTACCGATTGTGTTGGGTATCAAATGGGTGGGGCAGTTTTACCCTCTAAACCAAATTCTCACATAGACAAATGTTGGTACTTGGTACCGAAATCCATTTACCCCATCCATGAAACGTTAATTCAATGAAATGTTATCCAAAATATGTGACTTTTAGTTATTGGGTGTTTGTTGTGCTTATAAGCTGGTCAAAACTGTTTATAAGCAATTCTTAATTTACAAGTCTGCTGAAGACATGTTTCTGTGTGCTTATAAGTTACTTATAAGCTAGAAAAAATAAATATGTCTTAGCTACTTATTTTTAAGCCAATTTTTTTAACCCAAACTTTTTCACCATATCGCTGTTTTAACCCAGACTTTTTCACCTGTTTTAAGAGCTGGACAACCCTCTTTTCCAGTTTTACCATTCATGCGCTTCGAAGATGACTTGGAAGACGATGTAGGTGCCTTCAAGAGTTGAGATGTAGGCTTGGGAATGCGAAAAAGTTTTGTGGTGGAGTCATTGCCCAATTTTGAGTCTAAAGGCGCTTGAATCGTATTCGAAGTTGATTTCGAAGACCATTCCGCATCAATATCCTAATCTTGTTCTTCGGAAGATGTCTCTTCTTCTTCTTCGGATGACGTCCACTTTTTATTATACCTTCCAACTCTCATTAGAATTAAATTAGATCATGCCCAATTAGATTAGTTTAGATAAAAAAATAATTTTAAGTAGACTATAATCAGATCAAATCTTAGCATAATCTAATACTCTGCAATCTACATATCATACTCCCTTTTGAATTTTAAATAAACTAGATTAGTATCCGTGCGTTGCACGGTCAATGCTTTATCAAAAATATAAAAATAAGTAATTGTATAATATTTTAGTTTTTTTTAAGTACTATGTAGGTGATTATTATATACTCCCTCCGTCCCATAAAGTGTTACCCATTTTGACTAAAGTAGAAATTAAGAGAGGGATAATTTTGTGTTGACTTTCCAAAAATACCCTTGATGTGATGGGTAAAAGTAGGATGTGATGTGTAAATTATTAGGAAAAAGGTATGATGTGATAGGTAGGGTTTGAAAAAGTAAGGGGTAAAAGTGGTTTTTTAATAGAAATGGGTAAGGGATTATGGGACGCAATTTTTTTAAAAGGTGTAAATCTTTTTGGGACGGAGGGAGTAATATTTTAGTTTGAATATATAAATTATATATAGTTCAAAATAATATATACGTATTTGAGTTGATGATGAAAAGTATAAACACTAATGATGAGAATAATTATAATTCTCTAAAAAAAACACCATAAAACAAATACTCCGCATAATCTTTCCGCAACAAACAATGATTTCTTTGAAACAAATTAGAGATTTGGAAAAAAGAAAGATAGAAATAACTTGATTGGTTTTATTTCAAGTAACGCTTGATTTTTATTCCACCAATAATTCTCTATTAGTTTTATTTCAAGTAACGCTTGATTTTTATTCCAATTTTTAAAATGATAACAATTACTTTTGCTTTTATTAGTCTATCTTTAAAAAAAAACTCACTCTGTCTTAAAGTGTATTTGAAAGTTTGAATTTTCACAATCAACTATGCTTCAATTTTTACCTATAGTTTGAATCAAAATAGATCTACAACGACTCAATTATTGTTAGAGTCCCCACATGGAAAAACAAATAGAAATAACAATAATATATATAAAAGGATGAAATATATAAAAGGATGAAATCTTAGTTATAAGCTTAAACTTCGGGCTAATAACACGGGTGTATACTGTGATTTACAAAAAGATTGCCAAAATCTCGTATATTTTCAAAAGTTGTTTGTAAATTCTACTCGCTATGTGGTTTGTAAAAATTGTGAAATTTGCAGTGACGCCCCTCTTGCCTATTTTTGAAGTTAAAATGACATTTTTGTCCTTTCTTTTTCTCCATTTTCAAGATTCACTCTTTTATTTTCAATTTTTCTTTATTATACAAATAAATAAAATAAAACATATGCACTCTTTGTAAAACTAAAATCTTTTTAAAATTAAAATTTTTCAGTTATTTATTTATTTTTATATATTTGTAACTCTGACCCGTGTTAAATGAGGCGTTTGTCCGCCCCGAATTAAAACTCTATAAAAAGGAAAAAAACATGTCAAATTACTAGAAAGCGTGGGGAAACATGTCAAATCACTAGAAAGCGTGGGGGAAAGCGCGGGGGACAAGTTCATGGCACGGAAATACAAACACTTTTTGAGATTTGACGCCCTGCTTTTTCCTGGAAACTACGGAGGACGGAGAATAAGGCCAAAAACACTTCCGTATAAAAAAGGCAAACTGTATGTAAGTAAACAGCAAGCAAATAAGTAATTAAGTAAGGAGAAGAAGAAGATGGTGATGGTGATGGAAGATGTGTGGTCTAAACTAGGGCCTTCCCTCGCAACCCTCATGTTCATCTGGACATTGTGCCAGAAATGCTTCCCAGAACACCTCCGAGAATATTTCACCTCCCGCTGTAAAAAGATTTACACCTTCTTCAACCCATACGTCCAAATCACCTTCCATGAGTTTGAAGCAGAGGAGCTCTTTGACCGGAGCAGAGTGTTCCTGGCTGTCGAGAGGTATCTCGGCCACATTTCCGCCAGGAATGCCAACAGCTTCATCGCGAAACCGGCGAAAGACAGCTGCCGGTCGGTGGTGCTCAGCATGGGGAACCAGCAGGAGGTGGTGGACGTGTTCATGAATGGGGTGGTTAAGGTGTGGTGGAGCTCTGAACAGATCACTTCCTCTCAACAGTCCTTCTCTTTCTTCTATCCAAGGAACGACGAGAAGCGGTGCTTCCACCTCAGGTTTCACGGCAAGGATCGAGATGTGGTCATGGAATCTTACCTCCAGCATGTGTTGGCAGAGGGGGAGGCCATTCAGATGAGGGAGAGGAAGCTGAAGCTTTACACCAACAACAAGAGCGACGAGTGGCGGGGTTCCAAATGGAGCCATGTCATCTTCAAGCATCCCTCCAATTTCGACACTCTCGCGATGGACCCAACCCGGAAGCAAGAGATTGTAGACGAGCTTCTCAACTTCAAGGACTCCAAGGAGTATTATGCCAAGATAGGCAAGGCGTGGAAGCGCGGGTATCTCCTCCACGGCCCTCCGGGAACTGGAAAGTCCAGCATGATTGCTGCCATGGCCACTCTTCTGCAGTACGACGTGTATGATCTTGAGTTGACCGCCGTGAAGGACAACAACGAGCTGAGGAGGCTGCTTATAGACACCTCGGGCAAGTCCATCATTGTGATCGAAGACATCGATTGCTCCCTCGACCTGACTGGGCAGAGGGAGAAAAATGAGGAGGATGATGAGGAGGAGAAAGATCCAATCAACAAGGAATTAATAATCAACAAGGGTGTGCCGAAGAAGAAGAAGGAGAAGAAGAAGGAGAGTGAAGTGACTCTATCGGGGCTTCTAAACGTCATAGACGGGCTCTGGTCAGCTATAGGAGAAGAAAGAATCATAATCTTCACCACGAATCACGTTGAGAAACTCGATCCTGCACTGATAAGGAGGGGGAGGATGGACCACCACATTGAGATGTCATATTGTTGCTTTGAGGCTTTCAAGGTGTTGGCAAAGAACTATCTGGGCATTGGGGATGATTCTCATCCTCTGTTCCCAGAAATCAGACGCTTGCTTGGGGAAACCAAAACAACCCCTGCGGATGTTGCTGAGAACATGATGCCCAAATCTGCTGGGGAGAAAGCGGACGCGTGCCTGGAGAGATTGGTTAAAGCACTGGAAACCGCAAAAGAAGAAGAGAAGAGAGCCAACGCTGTGAAGGAAGAGGAAGCCCACTGCAAGAAGAAGAAACAAGAGGCCAATGTAATGACCTGAAGAAAGCAGAGACCTGAGATGGTTTTCACCGTACCATGGCCTCTTTTCTTTTTTCACTCATGTTGTAGTAGTGTTGTGTTTTTCTTTAGAATTATGAATCCTCTTACGGTTTTCACTTGGACCGGCGAGAGAGTAACTTGGAGGTAGATTAATTGAGGTATAACTCAAACTCATAAATAAAGAGTACTGATGTATGTACTCGGTACATCCAAGGGCTCCATGCATATATAGCATGGTCGCACTTCATTGTCATTGTGTTTTTTTAATATATAGTTGAGCATATTGCCATCTAGATCGAGTACCCTAGAAGTTCAGTTTTGTTTTTCTTTAAATAATATATCAGCTTTTATAGTCGGGCAAATTTTGCTTATGGTGCCAAAAGGTTAGGTATATAGTTTGAAAGGACTTTTAGTACATTTATTGACAAAGAATCCACAAGCTAGAACTTAGGAAAAGCAGCAAAACAATGGCAAAACTACATCATTTGACATAGTTAAATACTTCCTCTCTCTCCCCCATAGATCTTCTCAATAACCCATTTTCTTTGTTTACAATATATCTTCTCTTTTCATTTTTTAACAATTAAAATATCACAACTACCCCCACTTACTTTATTTATTACACCTCACTCACCTCATTTAATACTCCCTCCGTTTGGAAAAACCCTTCCCATTTGATTTGGGGGCAAAAATAAGGAAGTGTTAAATTATAATTGATTTCCAATTTTGCCCCTGATGTGATGGGTAAAAGTAAGATGTGATGGATAGATTATTAGAGAAAAAGTATGATGTGATAGGTAGGGTATGAAAAAGTAAGGGTAAAAGTGGTTTTTTAATAGAAAGGGGAAGTGTTTTGTTGGAAGTGAAAAAAATGAAAGAGGAAGTGTTTTTGAGAACGGAGTGAGTACACTCTACCCATTTTCATTAAGGGCATTATAGTAAACTTTTACCTTTTTTCAACTTTTCTTAAATGAGAACATCTTAGGGGGACAAAGGTAGTAATTAGTATTTTGTGTGAGTATGTGAGAGTATTTGTCTGGTTTAGATTTTTTGGCGGCGATCATGTTCATCATTTGACATATACTCCCTCCGTCCAAGTTGAAACTTCTCGTTTTGACTTGGCACGAGTTTTAATGTAAAGTGGAAAAAGAGATGAGTTCTCTATTTTGTATTTTTGCCCTTCATGCGTCACTTTTTGGAAAATAAATCAAAAGAATAAAGTGCATAGTGCTCAATAGTGACAAAGTACAAAAGTGTAGATTTTTTTTCCAATTCAATCATTACATACATATATTCATGTACATACACCCCATACGCATCATACACCCCATACGCATGATTCACATCTAAAAAAGTGAAAGAATATTTCCCTCCAAAATGCCCAAAACAAATTTAAAAAATTAATGTGAAAACAAAAGAAGAGGAACGAAAGCGTGAGAGAGCGATGATAGTGAGAAGATGAAGGGTGTGAGAGCGATTCCATCACAGATTCACAGCAAGCAAGTGATGATAGTGAAAATGGAAAAGAAAGATTTACTCGGTAGCCCGTATATGAGAAAATTGAAAGCAAAGTGGGTGGATGAGAAGGAGATAATGGGGTAGAGAGTAGATAATGAAAGTGGGGTGGGTTATGAAAGTGGGGTGGGGTTAGAGTAGGTTAGGTGATGTCATGATAAAATACTCCGTAAATGTAAGTCGGAATAAAGAGAGGTAAATAGGTCATTATAAGTGTTTTTTATTTCCAAATAAGGAAATGGGACGACCCATTTCAACATATTTTTATTAGAATTACAGAAAAATTCTTCTGTTATAGTAAAGTATACACTCATGTATAAATATCATGAATGAATTGTGATATTTTAAAAATAGGAGATTCTCCTGTTAGCGCATGAAAAATTGAGAAGGTTCATAACGTGAAAGTTAGGAGGAGAGCAATGACACACGTATGGAGCTTAGTCCGAGTAATGAGAAAGGAATTAATACAAGTCTTAAATGCAGATTACTCCCAATATTTATTTAAAATTTAAATACACTATAGGGAGAAGTATCGTTATAACACTAATATATGCTTAAAATACTCAGGGGCTGTTTGGCAACTTCTGAATCGGTAAGTGCTGAACTAGTAAGAGGTCTGAACCATTAAGTGCTGAACCAGTAAGAGGTCTGAACCATTAAGAGCTAGTATATTGCTTAACTATTCAGAGGCAAATGTCTGATCAATTTAGATAAGAGGTCTTAACCATTCAGACTCTGTATAATACTTAACCATTCAGAGGCAAATCTCTTAACCATTCAGACATCTGAACCATTAAGAGGCTGAAACAAACAGTCTGAACCATTAAGTGCTGAACCATTCAGACATCTGAACCATTAAGAGGCTGAAACAAACAGCCCCTCAATATAATATTGCTATGGGATATTAGAACTCGTGTGGATGTAATTCTAAATTAAATTTGTCCTTGGATTCCACACTACCAAAAAATCTGTTTAAGTTGGTATACACTTCCAGAACATGTGCATAACACACTTCCGTCATATCTAATACTACCTCCGTCCCAAAAAGATTTACACGTTTTGACTAAAGTTGAAATTAAGGAAGGGATAAATTTGTATTGACTTTCCAAATATACCCTTGATGTGATGGGTAAAAGTAAGATGTGATGTGTAGATTATTACTACTTCCGTCCCCAATTTGATTACAAATTGCGGATTACGGAGTAAAAAATTCTACTATTTGAAATCATTTTATTTACAAATTGGTATATCAATAAGATATAAAAATTACATATTAAAAAACTACGTCAAAAGTTCTACAAAACAAGAGGTGACAAGAATATTTTATTTTATCAAATACTTAATGAAATCGCGTAAACAAACAAAAGTTATCGAGAGGAGAGAGGAAAAAAATTGTAATCTATTTAGGGACGGAGGGAGTAGGAAAAAAGTATGATGTGATAGGTAGGGTTTGAAAAAGTAAGGGGTAAAAGTGATTTTTTAATTTAAATGGGTAGGAGATTGTGGGACGCAATTTTTTTGAAACGTGTAAATCTTTTTGGGACGGAGGGAGTATAACATGTATCCACACTGTCAAAGCATGATCATTCCACACTGCCAAGAAATGTGTGTAAGTCTGCATACAATTCTAGAACATGGCATAACACACTAACCGAAAGTGTAGACATAACATGACAATTCAACACCGCCAAAAAATTGGTATACACTTCCAATTCCATTTATTAAATATGTTTAAGAAGTGAGGAGTGACATGACATTTCTAAATACTACGTACAAGGAATATAATGTGAATAACTTCCTAAAATTATAGATCTCAATAAATATGGTAAATGACATAATTAAAATACTGCATTATAATAAAATGGTATGATTGGAAGAGATCCATACCATAAATAGCGAAATGTGTAAAAAATAATGACTGCTATATGTGTAGTATTGGGTGTCTTAGATTGCTAATTAGGGCAATTTCTACACACTACAGAGTGTTAAATTATGTTAAAAAGAAATCTTCATGAATAGGAGTAAAAACAATGAAAATATCAGAATAAAAGTCTTAAATTTTTAAAAACCAAAATAGGAGTATACTAGTAGTGTAATATAAGAGTACGCGTTTGTACTATGATTAAAAATGTAATGACAGTGTAATATATCAATTTGATGAGTCAATCGTTGGTGATCTGCGGAGGCACTCTAGTGGCCAACGACGACGATGGCAGTGTGGCGATGATAGTATAACAGTTATAATGAGGCAATGTGGTGAGTGTGCCAGTGTAAGAATGAGTGTTAACTTTTATTTTGGTGTTAAAAGACTTAAAATTCCTATTTTGATATTCCCTCCATCTCGAAATGTTTGCCACATTTGGCAAAACGATGTAAAATATCAAATTTTTTTAATTCATTCTATTTCAATATTGGTATAGAAATAAAAAATAAAATTCACATATTTAAAAACTACATGAAAAATTCTTCGAAATAAGAGGTATCAGAATATTTTATTTTATCAAATAATCAATGAAAACATACAAATAAAAAAGTTCACGTGACTATTGAAAAAACAAATGTGAAATTCTTTTTTAGACAGATGAAGTATTTTTATAGTTTTTTTACGAAAAATCATCCTAAATAAGACTAAAACATAGAAAACGTACCAAAATAGGACATCTATGTTTTTATTTCCGAATAAAAATCCACACTATGGTAATGTAGAGGTAATGTGACACTGTACAAGTGCACATTAATATATTTTTTGATAATGTATATGACCACGTTTGGTAATGTAAAATGCATTTTAACTTCGATTTCGAAAATAAAAACATAGAAGTATTATTTTAATATATTTTCAATGTTTTACTCCTATTTTAGTTTTTTTCAATACTAATTTAAAGTCTTTTTTGATGTAATGGTTATAGTTATATTTAGAATTGTTTTGTTTGATTGGGTGGATCAGCTGATCGGGTAAATAAAATAAGTGTGATCTTAGGATCGGATCTCCTGCCAGTCGGATCTTGAACATAAGAAGGATGATAGCTTTGATTTGTCAGTCATCTACACAGGTTGTAAGGTACGCATTTTCCTTCTTTAGGTTGCTGGATTAAATTAAATCTTAAGCGTCTTTTGTTGTTGTTGATTGAAAGCTAAAAGCACCCGATTTCAAAGCCTGAGTTACAGCTCCTTTTGGCTTTAAAGAGAAGATAGAGCAATGTTGGATCGATCTTTTCCTTGGCTCCTGATCTAGAATTATTATTATTATTGCACTTTTTGGTTTCAAAGCAGTAACCATTTCTAGGTTATATATATTACATTGGTTACAATCATAATTAAAAACTTTGATTTCTTCTATCAGTTTTGTGTCTGCTAGAGTATAATCCCTTTGATAATTCATGTCATGTTACCTTCTGTGCTTTGTCTTTTTTAACTTTGTTCATTTTCTTTTAGAGACAGTTCAATAGTCTATGAATGAATGTTTCCCACAGAGGATGTGCCAATTCTCATCAGATGATACTGAATCATTGCCCTTCATTGAGGCTTTAAGACAATTATTTTTCTCTGTCAGTATTGCGTTATCTAATAAAATATGTACATTTGCTTCATTTGCCTCTGGCTCAACGTGAGTAAAACGCATTTTTTTTGGCATTGTTTGTTTTCCTGTTATTATATTACCAAAAAAAAACTCGTGTTCCCAGGGGCGGACCTAGGGTGGCTGCAGTGGGGTCACTTGCACCCACTCCAAAAAAAATTATTTATTAGTAGTAGTATATAATTAGATATTATAGGTAGACTAAGGGCATCCAAAGAGAGTATATTTATATGTGATTAGGTGTTATTTTTTGAAAATGGAAGATAGGACACATCCTATAGTTGTGTAGAATTTTATGTTTTAATTCTTTTAGATTTGGAAAACTGAAACTTAATTAAAAAATGTTCATTTTTTTTTGAAATGTATGAAAAAGTTTAATTGTTTTAAAAAGATTCCTAAGATATACTTAGTATTTGAAGGAATGTCTAGAATTACTACTTTAGTTCTTTAATTTTTTTGGTTAAAACAATGAGCGTATTACGTAGTATATTTTTATACATTATTTCAAAAATATTGCATATAATTTACAATATTAATCTCAGAATGCTATTTATTGATACTTTTTTTACCTTTAAGGTTTTAAATTTATTGTTATACAAATATCAACCTTTTTTTTGTGCACAAAATGTGAACCCACTCCTTGAAAATCTTGGGTCCGCCACTGCGTGTTCCCTCTAATCAAGCCAGGATTTTTGCCTCATTCATGTCAGTCTCATATCTGTAAATCCTTATACTAGCCACATCTAAGATTTGTTTTAGACTGGATTTTGGGTTAGAACCGTGTTTTTGGAATGATTTGTAAAACATTGAGATATATTTCTTAAAAAATGAGAATGACTGCTGGGAAAATATTTTCTTAAACAATGTAGGGAGTGATAAAACATAGAGATACATTTTTAAATTATTCTAATAGTTATAACACTATCTCAAATCTCCACTATGCATCATCTGCAATTCTGCATTAACTATTCCTTTGCATCTCCATTTTCTTGAACAGACGAGGACTCTGCTTTCTTCAGGTCATCGGCCTCTTGTTTCATCTTCTTCTTGCGGTGGGCTTCCTCTTCCTTGACAGTGTTGGCTCTCTTCTCTTCCTCCTCTTTCAGCCGTGCTTCTTCTTTTGCGGTTTCCAGTGATTTAACCAATCTTTCCAGACACGTGTCTGCTTCCTCGCGAGCAGATTTGGGCATCATGTTCTCAGCAACGTCGGCAGGGGTTGTTTTGGTTTCACCCAGCAAACGTTTGATTTCTGGAAACAGAGGGTGAGGTAATTCAGAATCATCCGCAATGCCCAGATAGTTCTTTGCCAACACCTTGAAAGCCTCAAAGCAACAATATGACATCTCAATGTGGCTGTCCATCCTCCCCCTCCTTATCAGTGCAGGATCAAGTTTCTCTACGTGATTCGTGGTGAAGATTACGATTCTTTCTTCTCCTATAGCTGACCAGAGGCTGTCTATGACGTTTAGAAGCCCTGATAGAGTCACTTTACTCTTCTTCTTCTTCAGCACATCCTTTTTGATTGGGTCTTTCTCCTCCTTTTCATCCTCCTCTTTTTTCTCCCTCTGCCCTGTCAGGTCTAGTGAGCAATCGATGTCTTCGATTACTATGATGGACTTGCCCTCGGTGTCTATAAGCAACCTCCTCAACTCGTTGTTGTCCTCCACAGCGGTCAGCTCAAGATCATAAATATCATATTGCATAAGAGTGGCCATGGCGGCGATCATGCTGGACTTTCCTGTGCCCGGAGGGCCGTGGAGGAGATACCCGCGCTTCCATGCCTTGCCTATCTTGGCGTAGTACTCCTTGGAGTGCTTGAAGTTGAGAAGCTCGTCTACAATCTCATGCTTCCTGGTCGGGTCCATCGCGAGAGTGTCGAAAGTGGAAGGATGCTTGAATATGACATGGCTCCATTTGGAACCGCTATCCCACCCACTCCAGTCGTCACTCTTGTTGTTGGTGTAAAGCTTCAGCTTCCTCTCCCTCACCTGAATGGCCTCACCCTCTGCCAACACATGCTTGATGTAAGATTTCGTGACCATCTCTCGATCCTTCCTGTGAAAGTTGAGGTGGAAACACCGCTTCTCGTCATTCCTTGGATATAAAGAGAAGGACTGTTGAAGGGAAGTTATCTCTTCTGAGCTCCACCACACCTTAACCACCCCATTGAACACATCCACCACCTCCTGGTGGTTTCCCATGCTGAGCACCACCTCCTCACAGCTGTCTTTTGCCGGTTTCGCGATGAAGCGATTGGCATTCCCAGATGAAACATGGCCGAGATACCTCTCAATAGCCCGGAAAACTTTGCTCCTGTGAAAGATCTCCTCTGCTTCAAACTCATGGAAGGTGATGTGGACGAATGGGTAGAAAAAGCTGTAAATCTTGTTACAGCGGGAAATCAAATATCTTCGGAGGTGAGGAGGGAAAAAGTTCTGGCACAATGTGGAGATGAACATGAGGGTGGCGAGGGAGGCGCCAACTTTAGACAACAGATCTTCCATCTCCTTCTTCTTCTTCTTCTTCTTCTTTTCTTCTTACTCAAATTAAATATTCTTTTATGCCAAGCACTAGCCCTATATATAATTATAATTACAAGGACTCCGTGTTTTTTGCATGACTTGTTTCCTATTCTGCGTCGGTTTTGTTTTTTTCTTTTTTTGAAGGATTCCAAATACTCTCTCCATCCACAAATAAACTTTACATTACGCGTTACGATGTTTGACTGAAGTTATTTTCAAATTATTTTAAATGAAAAATGGTGTAGAATTGAAAAATAAAAATTACATATTAAAAAACTATATCAAAAGATCTACAAAATTAGAGGTGACATGATTATATTATTTTATCAAATGGGTGACGAAAATAAGCCAACAAAGTGAATAAAGTTTGACCCTGTGAATAGTGAACGTAAAGTTTATTTGTGGACGGAGGGAGAGGTGTTTGGGTTTACTCTTCCATACGGAGTATTTGGAAACTAAATTAGCATAGAATATTTAAAGAAATTAGCATGTTTTCGTTAATACTCAAATATTTAACAATTGACATTGTTGCTGCATTAAATTATACATAGTACATTCTTATAGGAAGAAAACCCAAATTAGGATGCATATGTTTTATCACTAAAATAGGACTAAAATTCGCTTCTAAATAAGGAAAAATTCTCTTAAATGATCCTACCTTTTCACGTTTTTAAAAAAATAATCACACTTTTTACTGTCACGAAAATAATCTCATCTTTCTGCATTTGTGCGAGTTTTGGGTTGTCGTTAAGAAATTAACGAGAATTTAACAAAATTCTTGAAAAATGATTGTTTTTCGCAAATAAATGGAAGGTGAGATTATTTTAGGAAAATTTACTTTTTTTTAAATTTTAAGTTTATGTTTTTAAATATATAACCGTAAAATCTTGCAGAGATTTATCTCAATTTGTTTTAAAAAATATAACGATTTGTAAATTTTGTATTCTATTCTGGGAAAAATATAATAGTTGTGGTTTATAAAAATAATTCAGAGTATTGCTCGAGAAAGAAATTGCAATATAAAAAAGTTGTGGTTTATAAAAAGGATTAGCGCCGTTTTGGATTAAAAATATTGTATCGTTTTCACAGCATTTTATTTGTTATTTTGGGGAAAAAATTTGTACTGAATTATCCAAAAAATCATAAATGGAAAAAAATTGTACTGAATTATCAAAAAAATGCACAAGTTTTGTGGTGCTATTTTAGAAAAACAAATACGGGCAATACATGATTATCAATAAACATTTCGGATTGTTGTTCATGAAAAAACTTGCAATACAACAAAATATATAGTGAGTTATAAAAAGAAAAGTTCCATTTCAAGAAAAAAAATATTGTGTTAATTTCACAATTATTGTAATGTTGTTTTGCAAAAAACATTATTTAGAATTATTGAAAAATATTCACAAGGTTTATAGTGCCATTTTTTAAAAATAATAATATTGTAGTATCAAAAAATAAATTAAAGTGCCGCTCGAGAAAATAATTACAACTTACAAAAAATGTAGTGAGCTATGGAGTAAGCTAAGCAAATTAGTTCCATTGTGTAGAATAATTTATTGTGCAATTTCACAACTTTTGAAATTTTATTTTGGAAAACATAATTATTACTAGATAGATTTTCGATTATTGAAAAAAATAAATAGTTTCACTCTAAAAAACACTTAAAATTTGGTATTATTTATAAAAACTTTTTTAAAAAATACGTTTAGATTTAAAGTTAGAAATTAAAAAAATGAAAAAAGAAAAATAAAATTTACCTAAACTAATCTAACCTTTCATTTATTTGCGAAAAACAAGCATTTTCAAAATATTCTGTTAAGTAACCGTTAGTATCCTAACGGCGGTTCAAAACTTGCACACATGAAAAAAGGTGGGATTATTTTTGTGAAAATGAAAAGTGAGATTGTTTTTGGAAGAGCGCAAAAAAGTGAGATTATTTGAGATAATTTTCCCTCTAAAAAAATTGCACTCGATCTATTAAAAATTTTGCATTGATCCATTCTATTTAGTAGTTTCATAATGTTATACAATGTCAATCAAAACTATAAGTGAAATTTGTACTAAATAGTATTAAAACATATGTCTTTTCCCCATGTAGTACCTAAAACTTTTTATTTTGAACAATGTCAATTGATAAGAACAATATTCAGTGGCGGTGGACATTTGTTTGAACAATGTCCAATAAAGATTGAACAATGATACTAAATTGGAAAATTAAAACATACGGTACTACATTAAAAAATTGACTCTATTTTAATACTATAAAGGTAAATTTCCCAAACTATAATGTCAAACATAGTAATGTATAAAGACAAAAATGACATTGAATAATGTCAAATATATCTGATAGGTGTAATCCACCCAGCCCATGACTCAGGTCGGGCCCATCCAAAACTACCCGGGCAAAGTCCAGGTACCATTCAGCAGGGTTGTTTGGGTATATCTCTACCTTACCCGGGTGGGTTTCAACCAAGACCACCCGGGCAAAGTCCAGGTACCATGCAACAGGGTTGTTTGGGTGGATCTGTACCTTACCCGTGTGGGTTTCAACCAAGACCATCCGGGTGACTATTGGGCACCCGGTCAACTAGCATGACACTATATGGGGATCCTCGAGTGATCAAATGTTCCTTCAAGAAACTACCCGGGCAAGTTTTCAAGACTCGTACTGGGTGGCCAGTTTGGGTGTACATGTGTCGGCAAGCGTGGTTGGACGCTAGCGACTGAAGATCGCGGAGAATATTCAGATATTCTCGTCCAAGCACTACGCGCCAAGTGAGGTGCCATCAGCAAAAGCCGACAAATGAATGGGACAAATGCTACGTGATAAGAGAAGTCACCTCGCACCGTCCAGGAACGTGGGACGACGTGGGCATTCTTTGTCTTGTCCCCTAGGCTCGACTATAATTAGCATTGTAACCCTCAATAGAAAGGATCTGAACTTTATCTCTCTAGGGCATATTGTGTAATACTTTGGGGTGGGCACGGGCCGGTCCGAACCAAGATTTGTATAAACCGGACTCGACTTGTTTTTATTAAAACGGTCCAGGCCAGAACGAGTTTTCAAAATTTTAAAATTGAAACCGAACCTAACCCGGCTTGTTTGAAACGGGCCAATTCCACGGGTCAACGGGTCCAAACCTATCATGATACTAATATTAAAAAAATAAAGTGATAATAAATTAATAATACATACATGGTCATTCACCATTAGTCCAAAACAATGTACTACCTCCATTGTCAATTTTAAGTCACCCAACACAAAAAAGAAGCCTAAATGAAGACAAAACAATGACAAAGAGGGGTAAGGGCGAAACTCGTCAGGGCGTTGTTCCCGGTGTAATTATTAATAATAATACGGAGTATTGAAAAGCGGTCCGGTCCGGCACCGAATTCTAGACAATTTCAAAATGGAGAACCGGACCGACCCTAAAACCTATAAGGACCGGACCAAACCGGCTTGTTATAAATATTTGAAAAGAGGACCCGCCCCTAACCCGGACCGAACCTGTCGGTTCGGTTCTGACTCCCGGTTCCTTGACCCGTTTTCCCACCCCTAGTAATACTACCCCGTACTATTCTACATACTTAAAACAATTGGACTACAGGTGTTTCCACCTACAATCTTCTCGGTCAACGTTTGTTTTCTGTGCCACTTTAGTTTCTATACTCAGCAAACCATCCTAGACCTGGTCTAGAGTAGTTTGCTCGGGTGGTAATTTACACCATTAATATCAATGTATAATATCAAAAAGAGTAAATTATATATTTGATCCTTTATAACATGATGTTTTTCATATTTAGTTCTCTATTATAGTATTATCAAGTATTACGCTCGTGGTTCTTTTATGGGAACCTTTTTTACCTTTTTGTTGAATTGGTGTTAAATTGAGAGCTAAAAGTATAATTTTACAATGAAAATATATTTTTCTTGTCATAGTCAATGCCAGAAGTAACTTTTGATGTGTCATTTGTCAACTAGAATTGCTGTCTATTACAATAATAGTCTACAGATGTCATCTCTTGTCAAAATTTTAGCCCACATCCATAGTCATCGTTATTGTGTTATCATTCAAGCTGATATGAGAATATATCATTGGACATGAGATCAATGTGAAATTACACTTTTAGCATCTATTTAGCACCAATATGACAGTTAAAAAAAGACTATAGGTGGAAAAAAATCTACAAAAAAGGACTATGAGCGTAATATTTGATAATGGAGGACTAAGTGTAAAAAAATTCATGTTATAAAAGACCAATTATAAATTACTCTATCAAAAGACAATGAAATGTAAAAAAGAACTAGTATGGCCGGACAGTCGTTAGTACAATCCACTTCCTTTGACTATTGCATTCAACGGTCTACTATACTCCTTCCGTCCCAAAAAAAATAACATACTTTAATATTAAAAAATCACGAGAACTTTTGTTTATTTGTACATTTTAATCAATTATTTGATAAAATAAAATATTCTTGTCACCTCTTGTTTTTAATAACTTTTGACGGGGTAAATATATAAATTTTATTTTTATTTTTGTAACAATCTTTAAATAAAGTGAATTTAAAAATTTGAAATTTTGCTTCATTTTACATAATGTGACAAATATTTCAAAAGAGATCAAGTATTTAATTGCTTTGTGTTTGCACGAAGGGGCATAGCAATTCAATTTGGAAGCAGGGGAGGAGGAGAGGAGATTGGCGATATATAGACCTGAAAAAAGTAACCCGACCTGTTTTTGACCCGAAACCCGACTTGAAAACACTGGGTTTTGAACAAAAGTTTTGACGACCATCACGAAGTTGACCGAACCCGAAATGACCTGCTAAAAATGGGTAAAACCCGACCGAACCCGACCTGACCGACCCGCTAAAGTAAAAAATTTTCAAAATCATACACTTTACTACTCGTTTTTAGTGTTTCATTTATATTTTCAGACAAAATTTTAATGATATTACATAATTATCTTATTTTTTTCCAAAACTTTAAATTCCTTATTTTGATTTATATATCTAAAAATTACTTCAGATTTTAAAATAAAATAATTTTATAGATTTAATACATTTTTTTGATATTTTAAATTTATTTAATAGAAAATGTAAGTGTTAATGTAAATTTAAAATTTTTAAAAATCAAAGTCATAACCCGTTGGGTCAACCTGAACTCGATGACACTGGGTGATAAACATACAGTTCTCAATCCGAACCCAAATTGACCCGAACCCGAAATAACCCAAACTTGAAGTGACCGAACCCGACCTGACCGACCGATTTGCCAGCTCTAGCGATATACAACTTGATTTTTCTTAATTATAAATTAAATTAGGTTCTATATTGAAAATAAAAATATATCACCCATATTTTGAAGATATGAGGTATGTTCTGGTCCTACCAAGACATGTAGATTTCTTTACTATTCTGAATGCCAATTCACCTATATAGCTAGTGATATTTATTGCTAACTAGACAATTAATAAGATTTCGGCCCCGTTTGGCATCAGCGTTAGAGATTAGCGTTAGCGTTTTGAAAAAGCTATCCGACAGTAGCCTTTAGCGTTAGCGTTTTCAGAATTAATCTGCACCATTAAAATTTTATCCAAAACGCTAACGCTAATCGAAAAAGCTGTTACCAAACAAAGCCTTCATAAATGCTTAACAAGACGTGAGAAAGACTAAAATTAGAGTAATACATAAACAAAGAATAAAAATGATTCAATATTTTTATCATTAAAATAGGACGTGTAATGCCAACATATAATATCAAAAACAATGTAGAATGTCAATATATAGAGTCATATTATTGCAATAGTCTTATTTCAATGATAAAAATATGAGACTCTTATTTTGGAGTTAGGACTATATTATGCTCCTACTTTGGATGATTTTTTAACAAAATCCAAGATTTAAAGCTAAAAACTACTTCATCTGTCCCAAAAAAGATGTTCATGTTTCATTTTTGTGCATCCCATAAAAAAATTTCTATCCCGTCTAAAATGCCAAAAAAAACTTTCAAAACAACTTCTACCCACAATAAAGGAGAAATATTGCAAATTTTAGGCATTTTAAATATGGGTATAAGTGTTTTATGGGATATACAAAAAATGAAACAGGAACATCTTTTGGGATGGAGGAAGTAACATGCAACAAATTTGAAAAAAACCAAATGCATTTATATTTTAATTAGATGAATTATTAACAGTGTTAGAAATAAAAGGTTAGAGAAGTTTTAAATTAATAAATTATAATAAAATTATACATACTCATTAGATAAGTCTTGATGAGAGATTTCCAATAGTACATTTTGTGAAACGCAACTACTACTAGTAAGGGTGTAAACGAACCGAATCAAAGCGAATACCGAGATATTTGAATTTGTATTTCTTTAATTTTTTCGAATACGAATTCGAATCCAAATATGAGCTAGACGAATTCAAAATAAGATTTGAATATGTATTTGATTAATATTCGAATAGTTAACGAATCCTAAACGAATATTTGAATAATCATACTTTGTAATTTATATGATGAACCAACATCGATTTGCAATTTAATTTAACTTACGATGCACCTTATACTATACTATACTCCGTATCTAAAAACATTAATGCATTTGCATCTTATACAAAATACTCCCTCCGGCCCAAAAAGTCTGACACGTTTCGAAAAAACTGCGTCCCGTAAAGTCCGTTACTTTTCTATTAAAAACCACTTTTACCCCTTACTTTTTCATACCCTACCTATCACATCATACCCTTTTCCTAATAATCTACCCATCACTACCTACTTTTACCCATCACATCAAGGATATTTTTGGAAAGTCAACACCAAAATATCCCTCCCTTAATTTCCTAAAAAGTCAATATGTACCAATCTTTTTGGGACGGAGGGAGTATATTTTATAAAATATAACTATTAAGAATCATATGCTTTAGATTTTCGTGTTACGTTAATTTGTCGAATTCTTAGTAATTTAAATACACTTTATACTATATTAGTTTGCTTGATTATTGATGTTGAAAACATAGTCTGTTTGTTTATACATATATTTGAAAATTCAAATATCATCTGAATCGAATGTATCCCTATTTGTATTTGTATTTGTTTAATATTTGAATAAAAAATAATATTTGAATTTGAATTTGTATCTGAATAATGCAAATTTGAATAAATATATTCAAATACGAATCACGAATCGAACTTAAAATATTTGATTTGTTTACACCCCTATGTGAAAGGAACAGAGATACAAATTTAGAGTTGTAAGCATTTTAAAAGTATAAAAAAGAGAAAATTAAAACTAAGGGGGTGTATTCAATTCAGATTTTAAAAGATTTTGATAGATTATTTAAAATCTATGGATTATATAAAACCAATGAATTGTTTTAAGTCTACGTAGAATTAGGTAGATTCTGGTGTATTTTTCAACGGGATTTTATAGGATTTTCTATGATTATTTATTATCTACAAATTATTTTTTCTTTTTCCTTTTTCATTCATTCTTTCCTTTATCTCCGCCCAAATCTCCTCTCTTTCTTCTTTTTTTTCGCAGATCTGTTCGATGTTTTCCTCTTCCTCCCTCCTCCTTCCTTCTTCTTCTCCACCTTCTTTCTCCTGCGTGGCTGCGTCTAATCTCTCAATCTATCTTCTTCTTCTCCCCCCTCTTTTCTCACTCTTCAATTTTATAGATAATCTACCGGTGTCTCGTGACGGTTCAGAGAACGGCCACCATCCAAGTGGTCAAAACCTTAGGCTGGCGCCACCGGCCGCCATCCTCAATTTCCAACAAGAGGTGTTGAAGATGGAGGAAAATCCCCCGGTTTCCCGATCTTCCCCCGGTCTTCGGCCTGGTGCCACCGTCGTTCTTGATTCCCGATTCCCAGCGCCACTGTCATCCTCAAAGGGGGAGATTGAGGGAGGGGATGACCGGAGAAGATGAAGAACTATGCGGGAAGAAGAGAAAAAGATCCGTAGATTTCAGTCGACTCAAAATCCCTAGGCTTTTGGTTGGATTTGAAAACCAAATTTCTATTTATACTTTAAGTCTAAAATCCTTCACAATCTATATTTTATAACAATCCTTCAAAATCTATAACTTTTTCAATATCATTAGATTTTAAAAGATTTTTTAAAATCTCCGTTGAATACCTACAGATTTTAAATGATTTTTTAAAATCTCAATTGAATACCTACAGACTTTTAAAATCCAAAAAAATCCTACAGAATCTCTATTCTATACACCCCCCTTAATTTGGGACGGTAAGTGTAATATTACATATTACTACCTCCGTCCCACTCTTTTTGTCCAGTTTTGACTTTTGGAACTGTTCATATAAGANGGGGGCAGGAGAGACTGATAATTTTGCCCCTGGGTAGAGAATATTTTTAGAGAATTATAATTTTGCCCCGACCGAAAGGACACCTAAATAAAACAAAAAAAGAGCTTAAAGTAAAAAAACGTCCAATAATAAGATTGATAATCAAAAGAGCTTGTTATAAGAGTATGACATGGTTAACTAGTTAATTGGAGACATGGCATTAACCTGACCAGTAAATACACACACGAATAAATTCTGCGGAGTATGAAAAATTTTTTAAAATTCAGGTTTTTCCGTATTTAGTCCATATTTTTCAAATATTATGTTAATAATTTTTATTTAATTATTGGATATCATTCCACGTTTAATCTTCCGTTTATGCTTCCATCTCAATGCTGTTAGACAAGAATTAAACGTGAAATGATAACCAATCAATAATAACTACGAATATAATAGTTGATAAACACGAACTATATATGAAAAACTCTCAGTTATAAATGATCGTTTAAAGAATTTACTCTTTTGTAAACCACTTTAAATACATATATTAATGGTATACACTAAAAGTGTGGTTGTATTTTATTTAAAAAAAGTCAAGATTTGTATGCCACAAAAATAGTAAACCAAAAAATTTATTTTTTTATACGAGAACCAATTTGGAATGAATAGAAATTTCAAAGAATTTAGAAGTTATTACTTTGCTTTAACAACAACAATGGTTGAATAGAAGAAAGAAAAAAGAATGTGTACTACATAGTGGAGTATTATGTTAGGGGCGTAGATCCTCTAATTTCTTTTTAATTTCATGTGTCACTCTCTTGTCTATGTTTAGTGCTTGTCTAAACACTGAGAGAGAAGAATAGACACAGATGATGACTAAACATAGAAAAGTACCCGATCAACAAACACTGTGAACATAATAATTTACAAATATGGACTAAATATAGAAAAATCCCAATTATAAAGTGCTATTTATAGAATTTACTGCCAACACACATATAAAGTACTCCCGTTGTCCCAGTGTTTTCCTTCCAGCTTGATTTTTTCGAGTCAAACTGAACAAACTTTAAACATCAATTACTCTTAATTTATGTTGCATATTAATACAATAAATTAAAATTTTAATAGTTCTCAAGAAGATAAATATATTAAAATAATTTTTATACTAAAATCCTTACCCTTTTTATTTAATTCAAGTCCAAAGTTAGTCCCGTTTGACTCAAAAACATCAAACTAGACGAATACACCGAGACGGAGGTAGTAATAATTTCACCACATTTCACCACACAGGAAGCATTGGAAAGCAATTGCATAAATAGGAATAGGAAAAGAAGGGAGTAGAGGACAAAGTTGCTACGCGGAATAGCACTAAGTACCTTTGTGCATTGGCCCCGCGCATCACTGAACAACTTAGCATTGTTACTCTCATTTTCCTTGGTCTCCAAGAAACCCTGCGGTATAAAATAAGGCCTCAAAAGAGTTGGAAGAAGAAGAAGAAGTAAACCGAGAGTGAGAGGAGAAGAAAATGGCGATGGAAGTTCTATCGTCTAAACTCGGCGCTTCCCTCGCAACCCTCATGTTCTTCTGGACATTTTGCCAAAACCTTATCCCTCCTCAACTCCGAACATATTTGATTTCCCGCTATAACAAGATTTGCAGCTCTTTCAACCCATTCGTCCACATCACCTTCCATGAGTTTGAACCAGGGGAGCTCTTTGACAGGAGCAAAGTTTTCTTGACTATTGAAAGGTATCTCGGCCACATTTCCTCGGGGAATGCCAATCACTTCATCGCGAAACCGGCCAAGGACAGTTGCCGGTCGGTGGTGCTCAGCATGGGCAACTATGAAGAGGTGGTGGATGTGTACAATGGGGCGGTTAAGGTGTGGTGGAGCTCTGCACAGATCACTTCCGTTCGGCAGTCCATGTCTTTGTTTCCAAGGGAGGATGATAAACGGTATTTCAACCTCAAGTTTCACAAGAAGGATCGAGAGATCGTCACGAAATCTTACATCAAGCATGTGTTGGCAGAGGGGGAGGCCATTCAGGTGAGGGAAAGGAAACTGAAGCTTTACAGCAACAATAAGAGTGAAGAGTGGAGTGGGTGGAAGAGCGGTGCAAAATGGAGCCATGTCATCTTCAAGCATCCTTCCACTTTCGACACTCTCGCAATGGAACCAAGCCGGAAGCAAGAGATTGTAGACGAGCTTCTCAACTTCAAGGACTCCAAGGAGTACTACGCCAAGATAGGCAAGGCATGGAAGCGCGGCTATCTCCTCTACGGTCCTCCCGGAACAGGAAAGTCCAGCATGATTGCCGCCATGGCCACTCTTATGCAGTACGACGTGTATGATCTTGAGTTGACTGCAGTGAAGGACAACAATGAGCTGAGGAGGCTGCTTATAGACACCTCGGGCAAGTCCATTATAGTAATCGAAGACATCGATTGCTCCCTAGACCTGACAGGGCAGAGGGAGAAAAAAGAGGAGGACGAAAACGAGAAGAAAGACCCAATCAAGAAGGAATTACTTGACAGGGAGTTGAAGAAGAAGAAGAAGAAGAAGGAGAGTGATGTGACTCTATCAGGGCTTTTAAACGTCATCGACGGCCTCTGGTCGGCTATAGGAGAAGAAAGACTCATAATCTTCACCACGAATCACATTGAGAAACTTGATCCTGCACTGATAAGGAGGGGGAGGATGGACCACCACATTGAGATGTCATACTGTTGCTTTGAGGCTTTCAAGGTGTTGGCAAAGAACTATCTGGGCATTGGGGATGACTCTCATCCTCTGTTCCCAGAAATCAGACGTTTGCTTGGGGAAACCAAAACAACCCCTGCCGACGTCGCTGAGAACATGATGCCCAAATCTGCTCGGGAGAAAGCGGACGCGTGCCTGGAGAGATTTGTTAAAGCACTGGAAACTGCAAAAGAAGAAGCACGGGTGAAAGAGGAGGAAGAGAAGAGAGCCAATGCAGTAAAGGAAGAGGAAGACCACCGCGAGAAGAAGATGAAACAAGAGGCCGATGACCTGAAGAAAGCAGATCCCTCGCCTGTTCAAGAAAATGGAAATGCAAAGGAATAGTTATATTGAGGAGTGCACCAAGGATAGAATGAGGTGATTTCGTAATTGGAAGCTTTATTAATTATGTTAAACTGATTGTTGTCGTTTCTTCTTCATCTCTTCAAGAATTCTTGATTTTATTGGGATTAATCTAAGTTCTGTTTTGTGTGTTCCTGTCTCTGAAATTTGAGTATATCATTTGTTTGGGTTCAACATCTTACACAATTCCTGTTGAGATTGAGGAAGAACTATATTTTTATTAATTATGTTAAATTAATTTGAGTATACAGTTAAAAAATCTTTTGGGTTCCTAATTGATGGACAATACTCCATCAGATGATGCACAAAATCAACAAGAAAGTTCTAGGAAAGGATTTCAAAGAATTGCAGTTGAAGAAAAAATAGCAATGGAGTATCAAAAAAATAAGTTTTTAAATTGAAACTTGTGTTTTTCAAAAATTAAACGGTACACACTTTTATAAATATAACGGTTCACAAGTTTTGTGCTGCTGCTTTGGGAAAATAATTCAGAATGTTGTAAAAAAATTAATTGTAGCGAGTTATAAAAAGTAGTTCAATTTGGAAGAAAATTAATGTCATTTTCACCACTTTTGTGTGTTTTTCTACCCCAGCCGGCCAGCCCTCACCTCCTCCCTTCACCTTATGTTTCTTTGTTTACAGTCTTTTTTGTTTTTCTTTTTTTGCTAATACACGTTTTGTTTTTGGTTTGTATATTATTGTTTGTTTGTTTTTAAGGTAAAAAAAACTTCTAGTAATCAAATCAGATGAACGACAAAGTTAGGAGGATTCGACTCCCATGCATCGCTTGTGGCGTAAACGTATGTGCAACAACATTAAGCTCATATCAGAGAAAAGATCGAAAATAAACAAAATAAACAATAAAATTAAAGAAACGAAAATACTAAAAAGAAGAAAAAACTAAAACATAATACCGTAGTAAAGGTTACACCCCCCCCGTCGCAAATTAAGTTGCTTGTTTATTATTCAAGGGTTTAAATTTTATTAACATTCTTTTCCTGTTTTTCGTTACTCATTTGATAATATAATATAGTCATGTAACCCTTTGTTTCGTAGAATTTTTTATTTGCTACGTATTTTTAAAGTATGTAAATTTTTTCAATTCTCAAATAAATTGTATTGAAAATAACTTCAGTCAAACATCGTAAACTAAAATAGGCAATTTAAATACACACACCTACAGCCCCCATGAGATGAACTCCATGTTGCTCCACCTGCATCAATAGTTGGGATTTAAAATAAATCATGCTTATATGCAATTACTCTCTCCATGCCTTGAAAAAAATTGGTTTGTTTTTTCTCAAAATTGAAAAAAGTGAAATTGTGTTATGAAACTTTTTGTAGAAGGGGAAATCACTTATTTCTTTCCTAGAAAAAAACATCTTTTGAAGAGCTGAAAAAGAGAAATAAAATATTGTTTTTTTATGTTTGTTTTAATTTTAACTATCAAGAAACTAGTAACTAGATTGTGAAAACTAAAACTACTCCTTAATTGAAACTAATTTTGACTAAAACAATTACAAAAAGTAGGAAGTCTGAATAATTAAAATGGTACTCCTAGCTTCCGTCCCATATTTTTTTTCTTTTCTTTATACATACCACAGTTATAAAAATTTTACTCCGTATTTTATTAAAAATTCTGTCTGGGAAAAAATAAGGGGATGAAAATTTGGACAGTACGGAATATAGGACAAAGTTCCTGCCTGGAATAGCACTCTAAGTACCTTTGTGCAGTGGCCCCGCGCATCACTAAATAACTTAGCAATGTTGTTCTCTTTTTCCTTAGTCTCCAAGAAACCCTACGGTATAAAACAAGGCCTCAAAAGAGATAGAAGAAGAAGAAATAAACTGAGAGAGTGAGTGAGTAAGAAGAAGAGAATTAAGAAAATGGTGATGGAAGTTCTGTTGTCTAAACTCGGCGCTTCCTTCGCAACCCTCGTGTTCTTCTGGACATTGTGCCAGAACATTTTCCCCCCTCACCTCCGAACATATTTGATTTCCCGCTGTAACAAGATTTCAAGCTTTTTCAACCCATTCGTCCACATCACCTTCCATGAGTTTGAGCCAGGGGAGCTCTTTGACAGGAGCAAAGTTTTCTTGACTATTGAAAGGTATCTCGGCCATATTTCCTCGGGGAATGCCAATCGCTTCATCGCGAAACCGGCCAAGGACAGTTGCCGGGAGGTGGTGCTCAGCATGGGCAACTACGAGGAGGTGGTGGATGTGTACAATGGGGTGGTTAAGGTGTGGTGGAGCTCTGCACAGATAACTTCCGTTCGGCAGTCCATGTCTTTGTTTCCAAGGGAGGACGATAAACGGTTTTTCAACCTCAAGTTTCACAAGAAGGATCGAGAGATCGTCACGAAATCCTACCTCCAGCATGTGTTGGCAGAGGGGGAGGCGATTCAGATGAGGGAAAGGAAACTAAAGCTTTACACCAACAACAAGAGTGAAGAGTGGAGTGGGTGGAAGAGCGGTGCCAAATGGAGCCATGTCATCTTCAAGCATCCTTCCACTTTCGACACTCTCGCAATGGAACCAAGCCGGAAGCAAGAGATTGTAGACGAGCTTCTCAACTTCAAGGACTCCAAGGAGTATTACGCCAAGATAGGCAAGGCATGGAAGCGCGGGTATCTCCTCCACGGTCCTCCCGGAACAGGAAAGTCCAGCATGATTGCCGCCATGGCCACTCTTATGCAATATGATATTTATGATCTTGAGCTGACCGCTGTGAAGGACAACAACGATCTGAGGAGGTTGCTTATAGACACCTCAGGTAAGTCCATTATAGTAATTGAAGACATCGATTGCTCCCTAAACCTGACAGGGCAGAGGGAGAAAAAAGAGGAGGATGAAAAGGAGAAGAAAGACCCAATCAAGAAGGAATTACTCGACATGGATTTGATGAAGAAGAAGAAGGAGAGTGAAGTGACTCTATCGGGGCTTCTAAACGTCATAGACGGCCTCTGGTCAGCTATAGGAGAAGAAAGACTCATAATCTTCACCACGAATCACATTGAGAAACTTGATCCTGCACTGATAAGGAGGGGGAGGATGGACAACCACATTGAGATGTCATATTGTTGCTTTGAGGCTTTCAAGGTGTTGGCAAAGAACTATCTGGGTATTGGGGATGATTCTGAATTATCTCACCCTCTGTTCCCAGAAATCAGACGTTTGCTGGGAGAAACCAAAACAACCCCTGCTGACGTTGCTGAGAACATGATGCCCAAATCTGCTCGAGAGAAAGCAGACACCTGTCTGGAGAGATTGGTTAAAGCCTTGGAAACTGCAAAAGAAGGAGCACGGCTGAAAGCAGAGGAAGAGAAGAGAGCCAACGCAGTAAAGGAAGAGGAAGCCCATCGCAAGAAGAAGAAACAAGAGGCCGATGACGTGAAGAAAGCAGAGACCTCGCCCGTTCAAGAAAATGGAGATGCAAAGGAATAGTTATTGATGAGTGCACCAAGGATATAAATATAATGGGCTGATTTCGTAATTGGAAGCTTTATTAATTTTTAAATTGATTGTTGACCTTTGTTCTTCATCTCTTCTAGAATTCTTGATTATGTTGGGAATAATCTAAGTTTGTGTTTTGTGAGTTCCTGTCTCTGAAATTTGAGTATATCATTTGTTTGGGTTCTTCATCTTACACAATTCATGTTGAGATTGAGGAAGAACTATAAATATTTTTTTAGTCAAAAAATCTTTTGGGTTCCTAATTGATGGACAATACTCCATCAAATGATGCACAAAATCAACAAGAAGAATTCTAGGAATGAGAATACCCCACAGGACTGCCCGGCCCAGAAACAACAACATTCAGAGTTCAGACAACCAGATTAAGCCAAATTTCAGGAAGCAGCACAGAAAAATTACATATAGGCCAAATTAACATTTATAAAAAATGTCAATAAATGGAGCATATTAAAATCTTACCTAAGGTGAGATGGATTAGATTCCATGGTCATTGGATTCGATCAGTTGAAAAGATGATGAAGATTTGGATGGTTCCTATGATCGTATTTGTAGCACCATGCTTCTCCCTCCTCTGTGTGATTTCAGTGCCCAAGCAGAATCGAGTTTTGTATGGTCTCTCTTTGTATATAATTAAAATGAATTGGGCTTATAACGCCACTTGCAACGGAAGGGAAAATACCGCCGCGCCGGGCTGGAGCGGAACGGCGAGCGGCGGGAGCCCATTGCAAGCCGCGCGGCGGAAAAGCCAGCTGTGGCGCACGCCCCAGGAGCGGCGCAGAGCCGGGCTCCAATTCCGGCTGAAACGGGGGGAGGCCGTCCGTGCTGCTGTTCTAAACTTCTAATTTTTGTTTAAATTTTTCACCATATAAATTCAAGATTTAATTCCTAAACAGTGCCATTCAAATTTAATACCAAAATTTTTTCATTTTTTGTCCTTTAAAAAATTATTTAATATGAAATCACGAATAAAAATATTCAAATTAAAATACATCGACACCATAGAATTTACCTAACTCAATATATCTTATAACATACAATCTAACTATCACTTAAAAAGTTCTACACGACACAATCAACTTAACGCAGTACATCTACCTAATAAAATATCTTACCTAACATAATAAAAAATCATGCATCTAACTCATATAATCTACTACTCCGTATATATTTGAGACTACTCTCGCACTTTTACCATCTAAAAATTATACTTTCAAATATCTACTCACTACTTGTGGATGCCTAATGACCCTTATGTTGTTTACTTAAAAAAATAAAGGGACATATGTTCTGTTCTCTTCGATTGATCTAAACTGAATTTTTTTAGGTTGATTTGATCGGAGTAAATCTAATCTGATCTGATTCGAATTAATTTAGTTTAAATTCAAAATAGTTAGAGTAATAATAATTATATTAATAATAATAAAAATAAAAATAATTTATTATTATTTATTAATTATTATTATTATTATTAAAACAATTTTTATTATTAAAATTATAATTTTAATTATTCATTAGTATTATTATTATTATCCTTATTATTCTAATAATTATATTTATTATTATTATTATTATTATTATTATTATTACGTGCTATCACTAATGATGATAATTATCATTATTAATTTTAATTTTAATTAACATAGTAATTAATTTTGAAGTTTATTATTGTTAATTAACAATTATTATTTCTATTATTATATTGAAAAATAAATATTATTATTTATTTTTATTATCATTATTATTAATTATTATTAGTCAATAATAATAATGATTATTATCATTTGAATCATTATTAT